TGCTTTTGAATTTTTTTACGATATTAGTTAAATATGGTACAAGTAGGCAAGCTAGCATTTAACTTGCTACATATGTATGTAAGAGATGTTATTTCTTTCACGATGTATACCTTGTAATATACAATATCAAATAAAGAAATGATGTTTATCTACTGGGATAATCCAAAAAAAAAAAAAAAGTAAATTATATTTAATTGGGAATTATATTATTATATATAATAAATATCAACAATATGATTTTATATATAATTTGAATAATAAATTAAAAAAGACACTTGAATTAATTTTTCTAATTAGAACTTCTCTTTACTAGTTATATTAAAATAGATTAAGTAATTTAAAACTGATAATAATTTTTTACTCATATTGATTTATCTTCTAATATTATAAAATAAAATTCTTTAGAAATAAATAAATCAAATATTAAAAAAAAATATTATACTTAAGATAATTTATATAGAATATTTAGATACTAGTATAAATAAATACTAATGTGTATAAGTCCTTTAAATATATTTTAAATATCTAATTATATATTAATAAAAGATTATATATTATTATATTTGATTATTTTAAAAAATATATATAGTATACAGTATATAAATCAATAAATTTATAGATAAAACTTTAAAATAATTAAAAATAATATATATAAGATATTTAATAACTTATATATTAAATAAAAACATATATACTGTATACAATATATCAAATTATTTAAACTTTGGTAAATTACATGAATTTGATTTTTGTAATGTTAAAAATCGTAAATTGTATAGAGTATTTATAATATAATATTTTAATTTACTGTATATTATTCTTGAAATTAAAAAAAATTTTATTGTTATTTGTTAAAATAATTATTTAATAATAATAATAATAAGATTCAAGTTTATATTTTATTTTATCATTATATAAATAAAATTTTTAATTATATCTTATATTTATTTGAATTACTTTTTGAAATTACAATATATACAGTAACCATAAATTTGAATTTTCAGAAATGAATTAATCACACAGACTTGATTTTTTATTAAAGGTTGATTAATTTGTAGTGACATAATTCTTATTATTCTTATTGAAGGTAGGCTCATTAATTACAATTACACAATTCTTATTAAAAGTAAAATTAAAGGGAATTATGTAATCGTAAATTAAAGGTAAATTATGTAACCGTGGTAATTAATTGGAAATTACTTAATGACATAACACGATCTGTGATTTTAATTGAGAATAAAAAGATGCAAATTTTAATTCCATGTCTCATATGAACTTGCGCTTTACTAATTTTTTTTTTTTTTTTTGGTATGACATTTATTCTGTATTTAATTACCGCAATCTAATAACATACAGTATGTAAATAGCATATAAAACTTCGGAATATCCAATTAACCATTCTGGGAACTTTTTAAAGATCCTTAACATGCAACCACACGTACTATTACGTATCTTTATTTGTTATATAAAAAAAAAGTTCACAAACTATTAGCCCGAGTCCGCGGGCGTTGCACCAAACTGTGTAAACATTATGTAACAGAAGATTTCTAGAGATCTTTCATAAGTATAAAAAAAGGAAGAAGAAAATGAATTCTTTTTCCATTTATAACCTCAATGAATTACGAAGCATTAAACCCAAAACCCTTTGTTCTCTGAATTTTATGCAAAGAGAATACACAAGAAAGCAGAGGATTCGTAATCACAGAATAACACTTAACAACGGTCCTTCTACTTACAAATCTTTTTAATATTCAATAATACTGTAATTAACGAATCTTCAAAGATGTCAAACCCAGCGAAACCAATATCCATCAACCAAAATCAAGACTATGGTTCAACATCCACACGACAAGATATATCGATACCTATAAACGAACCAAATTCAGAGAATTCCTTTACACGAGAAGAACATGTTGAAACCATTGGCAACCTCTCTTTGATACGCCGCGTTTTATTTTCGACCAAATTAAATATTTTGTTGATACTATTGCCTTTCGGGATTGCATCTCACTATCTACGCTTTGATGACACAATAATTTTTAGTATAAATTTTCTCGCCATAATACCATTAGCTAAGTTGCTTGAATTGGCTACTGAAGGTGTTTCGCGTAGGGTCGGCCAGGTAATACCATATCGTCAAATGTTTTTACATTTGATCACACGCATTGATTCAAATTCATTCCTTAAACACAAAAATAGGCATTTGGTGGTTTACTGAACGCGACTTTTGGAAATGCAATAGAACTAATAGTTTCAATTATCGCGTTGGCGCACGGTGAACTCCGAATTGTTCAGGCTTCGATACTAGGCTCCATAATCTCTAACCTCCTTTTAGTACTCGGATTTTGTTTTTTGATCGGAGGATTTTACCACCGCGAACAGAAATTCGATCAAACTGTGGCGCAGACTAGTTCGAGCTTAATGGCACTAGCGTGTATTGGGTTGATTATTCCAGCTGCATTTAACGGTGTCATAAATCGTGTCGTCGGGAGTATAGATGATGATGATGGTGTGCATGATGAAGTTCTGGATTTGAGTCGTGGAACGGCAATAGTTCTGTTGATCGTCTATATACTTTATTTGTGTTTTCAGGTATTTCGAAAATTCTATTTTATTATGTCACCTGAGTATCGCAGAAATTTTCCTAACAGCAATGATCCTATTTACTTCTGATCAGTTAGGAACACATGCTAATCTCTATGCTGATGAAAACAAAGAAGCTGATTCATCGGATGATATACCAATGTCACTCAAGCAATCAATCTTTATGTTAGCTTTTGTCACACTATTCGTCACCTTCTCTGCCGAATACTTGGTAGGATCGCTTGAAGGACTCGTTGAACACTCGGGGATAAGTAAAACATTTGTTGGTTTTATCTTGTTGCCAATTGTCGGCAACGCTGCCGAGGTCAGTACTTTCTTCCTTGTTAATTTTAGAGTGAATTAGAGATATTAACTGCGCATATATAATAAATAGCACGTAACTGCAGTATCCGCCGCGAAAAAAGATAAGATGAAACTTGCTATTTCAGTTGCAGTCGGTAGTTCGATGGTAGGTTTTTCGTATTTGAGAATAACAAACGCTTTTTAAATCTCTAATTCTCAACTCCAAAACCTCAGCAAATTGCATTATTCGTCACACCGTTCCTGGTATTGCTCGGTTGGGCCATCGGTCAACCAATGTCATTATACTTTCACACTTTTGAAACAGTATTACTATTTATTAGCGTCTTCATCACGAGTTATCTCATTCAGGTATGCGTAAATTTGGTTTTTAAATACGCTCAAGGACAGTATCACCAAAAAAATAACCCATGTTCTAATAATTTTCAGGATGGAGAATCCAATTGGTTAGAAGGTGCAATGTTGTTGGCCACATACACTATAATATCAGTAGCATTTTTCCTTTATCCAGATGCTGCGGGTCCCTTGAGCGATGATGAATTGCCGCTGCCGCCGCCGCTACTTCAGACATCAATTATTTTAAATTAGTCCAATATATTATTTAATTATGTGATAAACACCATACTGTTGACATAATGTTAAATGCACATGTATAGTGTATTAGTTAAAAACTTTATATATTAATTATGTATTATGTATGACATTAAATATATTTTTACGTAAAATATCCAAATATTAAATTAACCTTTATTATTCAATAGTAATCTTGGACATGCTTTTTAACAATCTCTTCATAGTCAGCTCACATGTGACATAAAACCCGATACGATTGAAGTTAAGAATATAAAAATTGAGACGAACGAATTTTTCGGATTCTGTTTGTTTGGACCTTGTCTTCGGTCCCCGAATTTAGTGCTCTTATAGGATAAGAATGGTATTGTGACAGACAGTGTTGAAGGAACTTTATTTTGTTTCGGAAAACAATGATGTAATTGAATACAACCCAAAGTTGTTCGTACATACAAGAAATTTATTATTATAGTATTTGAGATAAACCATATCGTATAAGTGTATAAAACAATCGAAAATCAATCAATCCTTGTTAGCAACAACCGTAGGGAGGGTCCACGGGATCAACAAAAAGGAATCAATTTCTTTATTCCGTTTGTTGCGATAGTATTATTTTGGTCATCAGATTGATTCTAGAAAACGGTGTCAATCAAAATATTTGGTTTTGTCACAAATTGTCATTTGCGGAATGAGAACTTCTACAATATTTTCTTATTGTGCATACACGATATAATTTTAATTTTAAAAATATATTTTTAGGCCATTCGATTTTTTTCTATTGAAATCAATCATTCTTAATACATATTGTACATTACCATTAAAAATAAAAATAATTTTATATCAAACAATTTTATGATTATTTTATTTTATTATTATTGTTATTATAATTAACAATATAGATTTTTTTTTTTAAAAAAAATACGTAAATAATCCTTGTGTATTTCGAATTACGTCACGAAAAATGGGTTACTCTTTAAAAACACAATGATTTTAAAATTTTGGTTGTTTTTTTTTAAACATATTGTTTTTTTTGCGTAACCGTATTATTAATTATTTTTATTACACGTGAACAAGGAGGTGGTAAGTTTACACAATGTGTCCAGAAACTTGATGGAAAATCGGTAGTTTTCCATTGGAACTTCTACTGAAGACAAGCTAGCCGATTTTCCATTTCGGGCTTTCGATAAGGGGCTGATGAATATCTTAACTAATATTCTTATTTTTCATAAATGGAAATTGTAACTCTTGAATAGGTAAGACTCGGGATACTTCTCTATCAGGTCAGATCCGAACCCTTTACTAGGCAAATACCGTTAACCACTCGTCTTTCCAAAACACACTGTGCTCTTAGTGAAAAAAATAAGTCACGCCGCGTATTTTTGGGATTATTATTTGTGCCGCTAATTAATCATTAATTTAACGATTGCATATTCTCATTCGTGTATTAAAAAAACAAGATGGTTTTTTCTCATTGGAGTATTAGAAAATCGAAAGTTTTCAGTTAGTGTTTTTTTCGTTGAAATGATTACTCATTTATTTCAAAATGATTGGAAAATATAATGACTGCACGAGTGTACATATGTACAAAGGAAAGTTGACCTTCAGTCCGTTGAAACTTGCATTGACACTGTTTAATGCAAAATAACGACTCTGAAATTTTATGCAATAAGAACCCTATTTTAAGTAGCGTATAATCAATTAAAAAAAACACCTCAAAAGTAAAAGCTTAGCAAACATGATTTTCTTCTCCATGCGTGTCTCAACAATACGGTGCACACTATTAATAAATCATTGGCTTATTTGATTGAAACAAGTCTGTAACAAGGGAACATCGATCGCATGGCTCTGTATGTCACTTAACCATTTTTATTCATAAAGAATTATGTTGTCCCAAAAATGTGTTGTACAATTAAACCAACACGTTTCGGATCTTAATATACTTATGTTGCCTATAAATACATCACTTCTGTTTTTTGCTCTTTCCTTCAACCTTGATACCCACCACCTCCAATACTGTTATTCATTTAATTTTCTAGGCTGCGCCTGAAAGTTATTCAACACCCTCAATAATCGTAACCTTCTTTCTCTAAAAATTTTCAATATGCGCTCGATATTCTATACATTATTCGTCTCAGCTCTAGTAGCTGTTGTCTATGCATTTCCCGATCACTCTGGTACCTGTCTTTCAGACCAAGCGACTATTGAGGGTGTTCCCGGTTCACCCATGGGGAAAATGGTTACCACACTGAATTACAATTTTCAGATTAAGATGAATAACAATAACTACTTACCAAAAGGCTCTCCCGTCCAATTTACTGTTAGCGGAAAAACTCCTTTCAAAGGTTTATTGTTATATGCCGTGGATAGTCAGAAAAATCATGTCGGCTCGTGGAATACTCCAACTGGTTTTAAATTATTGACCAGTCCTCAATGCAAGGGTGACCCGTCTGGAACTCTATCTCATGCTGGTATGTGTTGTGTTTCAATGAATTTTTGATTTTTCCCCTTCGATTGGCCTCCCTTTAATGACATGTTTCCTCTTTAAACAGATGCCAACCCTAAAGGCCCCAATCTTTCCTTTATGTGGACCCCTCCTGCCAATGATGTTGGACCGATTAACTTCGTTGGTACGATTGTGCAAAGCGGTGAAGCTGGTTTCCAAATCATCAAGGTCCCAACAAACTTTACCGTTGCGGGTAGCAAAGTTACTGGTCCATCCACAACCGGTGGAAGTGGAAATTCTACCACCTCAACTTCCGGTTCTTCCGCTGATCCTTCTTCTTCTTCCACACGTAGCGATGCTTCATCCCTCACAAGATCTGCATTACTATTACAATTAACTGCCGTCATAACTTTGTTATTCTATTATCTTTAATTTATTAGAAACAATAATTCATTCTTAAAAAAAAAAAAATGCTCCTGTATAGAAAATACTACTACTAATAATCGTGTGGGTCCTTTTTGTTGAAATCTTGTGTTGTATGTAGAACTTTTTTCATTAAAAAAAATAAAATATTCATAATCATAAGTTCGATGCAAATAATGACATGTGTTGTCAAAGTAACCATCATTAATTTATTTAAAAAATCGTGTTAAATATTTTATTATTCTTTTATAAACAAAAACATTGGTATTAATAAAATCTCTTGAAATTCTTGAAAACTACATATATTATATCTAAATCCAAGATATGATAATATCATTAAACAAAAATTAAATAAAAATCAACTGATTTTAAATATAAAATGTAGTAACCATGCATTCTTGATGATCCAATATCTTTATGGATGATCAAATATTGTTTTTTTTTTTTATTATTATTGTATAAGAACTTGTTGTTATATGTTGTATATAGATATAACAAACTAAAACATAAAATCATTATTTGAATATTGATTACATTAATATTTATGTAAAATGCTATATTGTATATAAAATGTATAACAATAATATGATTTGTTTGTATTAAATTAATAAAAAAATTCAATATCTTTTTTTTTTTTGTAGATGAACATGCAATGATACATAACTTTACTGATACATAATATTTAAACAGACATCAAGTATCTTTTATATATATAATTAATTATTATAATGAACACTTTCCTATAAAAAATCACCAGACATTAATCAGATTTAGAAATAATTAACAAAGATAAAAAAATTTTTTTTTCACTTTTCGAAAAACATATATATTTTTATATTAAAAAATATATATTTATTTGAAATATAAATATTCTATTTATTTATACATATGTTTAATATTTTGTAACTTTGCCATTTGAAACTTTAATAACTTTAATACAACAAAATATACTTTTTATCAAATTTTGGTAAATCGAATCACCTATTTGAAACCGCTCTTCTAATAAAAAGTTAAATAATTCTTTTTTACTAAATGGTAATAGATTATGTCTATATACTTAATGTTCTAGTTAATTATACAAATACTCAATTGAATTGAGATCTGAGCTTTGGAATGGCCATGGAAAACAAGTAATATTTTTTTGTTCAATTCATTTTTTACTATATATACATAATGGATTGAGCAATTATCATCTTGAAAAATAAATTTTTTTCATTAGAAAGATTTTTTATAAATGGTAACAAGTTATTATCAAGGGTTTCTATATATGTTTTTACAGTTTATTGTTTGTTTATTTGTACTAATTGACCTAATCCATCTGCAATAAAAAATCCCAAACCATAACTTCTCTTCTTTCTGATTTAAAAGTCAGTATAAAACAATTCACATCATATTTTTTTTTAGGTAATTGCCAAACATAACTATGCCTATTATTTTCAAATATTTCAAAATGAGATTTGTCACTTCAAATAATAGAATACTATTTAGAAGTCCAGTTTAGTCATTCGATTGTCCAATTTTTATAAACCAATATATTTTTTTCATTAATAAATAGTTTTTGCTTGTCAATTCAAACATAATAACTATTTTCATGTAATATATGTGTATTAACTTTTGTTAAGGTTGATTGCACAAATTCACTGTATATGGTATTTAAAATAGCTTTGCAATCTTTTTTAATAATATATAATAAGTATCATGTATCATGATCTGTTAATAGAGTGGACCTTCTTTTTCAAATTGGAGGTTTTGTTTCACTAGTTTTTTAATAATAATTTATTATATCATAAACTATTGATTTAGGTATATTAAATGTTTCTATGATAATAAGAGGTTTAGAACAACTCTTCCAAGTACCAATAATTTGAACCTGTTTGTTTTCTAATAACTCTTTGCATTTTTTTGTTATTGTGAAAAAAATTCAAATGCAAGCATAAAAAATTAATTATTTTTTAACAGTTCAGCTTTTGTTAGCTCTAACAATGTAAAATCTATACAATGTGTTATTTAATAATAGTATGAAAAAAAACTTTTAATGATTTTATTTGTTTGATAATTTTTCTCAAATTAATTAATATTCAGTAATTTCTGGCAAGGGGTGTATACCTATCTTATGTCTTTTATGTATACAAAATTAATACTATCTAGTAACTAAAAAAATTCAATATTAAGAAAGCTGTATTATATTTTTATATAATAACTTTTTTTATTTTTGTAACAAAAACAATATTTTTATATATAGTATAATACTTGATTTTTCATTTATATATATTATTTTTTTTTCTATAAGCTATTATATTAATACAATAATATAAATAATAATATTTTTTTTTTTTTATCGCGAACAAGCATTAAATTATAAATAATAATATTAAAAAAGTTTTATTTAATTTTTATATAATAATTATTTTTATTTTTATTTTTTATTTGCAACAAAAGTTATTATTATTATTATTATATACAAATAACAAAAAAATTTGTATTTATTATTATTAATTTTATAAATTTTATAAAAATTTTTATATTAATATCTAATAAATTAAATCTTATTCTAAAATTTATAATTTAAAACAAAACCTATATATTATAAATTAACTATTAATAAATTTATTAAAATATTAAAAATTTTATAATTAAAAATTAAATAATTTTCAAATATATTATTAAATTGTTTTAATATTAATTTAATAGTTAATTTAATAACATATTTTTTATTGTATAACAAAAAATAAATTTTTAATCTATCAAGTTTTTATTTTTTCATCAGGAAATTTTTTAGCAAAGATCTCTGAAGATCTTCGGGCGTAGATCTCCGGAGGACCTCCGTCATTATTAAAAGACTCCGGAGCAAAGGTTACTATATTAAACTCCAGAGATCTTCAATTTATTTTAATAATAATAAAATATATTTATATTCATATATTATAATCTATTAATATTCAATTTT